ACATCAGAGCGAAAGATTTACATTTCCTGGAGCGCTACATTTTGATTGGTCAGAGTTATGACAGGGTGTGTCAGGGTCTGCTGATGTCAGAATGGCCTAATTGGCAGTGACATTAGTGTTTTTAAATGCTAATTAGCTGTAGCTGAGTTGATCGAACAGTACTGGCCGGTTGGTCTGGTTCCAGGCTGTTTAGTCTTCGTGCTGCTGCTTCTCTTAGAACGAGTGACACGGTTTGTATGTAAGTCTATTCCAAATTAGGCAATTTCTTCATTGATTTTTAAAATCAATAGCCATTTTTACAGATAAATCAATTTTGTCGATGTGAAGTTCCAGTTCCCCAACATAAGGGAAGGTAAAGACTGTAATACAATACTTGGTTGTGGTTGGTTGTAATGACGAAGAGTGTGCAGCCAGGAAGAAATGGATGAAAACAAGAGTCAGGGGTAATTTGTGACTGAAGGAGAGCAGTGAAGTTTAAAGGGTGAGTTTGTATGATGTCAGTGAGACCTGCTATGATGGATGGTTGAGAGACAATGGCCCTGTTTGAGAGGCAGGAGCCTGAGATGGAGGAGGCAGAAGTGAAGAGGCCAAGGTCTGCACTGGATAAACAGGATTAGAAATGAGCAGATGAGAGGCACAGTGTGGAGATGGAGTTAGAGAGAGGAGGTGAAGATGGTTTGGACATGAGAGAGGGTGGGTGTGTTCGAAAAAGACTGTTGGAGATTGTGCTGTCAGGCAGGACCCCAGAAAGACATGGAGATGTCAGTTGGGTCCAGTAGAGTAGAGAAGGAGGACGCAGCCAAAATAAGTAAAAGGAAGAAATATGTGCTGTTGACAACTGGACAGTCAATGGATGTCACTGACTATGAGCCATTACTCGACAATTTAAGTTAGGGACATGTAAATAGGAAAGGTTGCTGGAAAAAAAGTCGATAGATTCAACTTTGTCGCCCCCTTATTTAATACGAAGTACTACAAGGACTGCAGTTTGAGATCAGCATTCACCAGAGTGTTTAATCTGATCGCAGTTCTTCTCTGCTTGGAGTCTAGGGAGTCATTGGAGCCTGAGCAACTCTGCCAGGAGTCTGTGAATTCTCAAATCCATCTTTTAAAAATATTATCTATTGTTTATAAGGCCTACATTTTCTGGGTACCAATTATTTTTATTTGGAAGTCTCTCGTACTAGTGTACTTCCTTTTTTTACCAGACAATAAAATTCTAAAGTTATGCCCCAGAATTTAGCCTTTACTCCTGTACAACGCTGCATGGTCACAATTCCCTCCCACACACACACACACACACACACACACACCTGAATCCTGACAGGTCACAGCACATTAAGTCATCTATATCATACCCACTGTGTGTGTGTGTGTGTGTGTGTGTGTGTGCATGTTAATGTGTGCGCTGTAAACTTGACTGCTCTCAAATCAGGAAGGTCGTCTCCGTCCAACAGACAGAGTGATGTCTGCGAACCAAACAGCATTAATGACAGATTTAAATAATACATTTCCTAGTGACTTTTTTTTCTCAGTACATCATTTTGCATCCCCACTATAAATTTCTAATGCCGTGATTGGACCGTTTCATCTTTGTGTTACAACTAACTGATCTGAGTCCTGTTCCTCAGCTCATTGGAACAGCTTCATTGATCGTCTGCATCCTGGCCATAGTTGATCCATACAACAGCCCAGTCCCCCGAGGCCTGGAGCCTTTCACCGTGGGCCTTGTCGTTTCAGTTATCGGCCTTTCAATGGGCTTTAACTGTGGATATGCTGTCAACCCAGCCCGAGACCTGGGACCACGGATCTTCACCGCTGTAGCAGGCTGGGGGGCAGAGGTGTTTTTGTGAGTATTAACATTTCTCATTTGGAAGAGAACACAGTTTTGCAGTAACTAAAGGGCTGCAGGTTTACAATGTTTTCTCTCTCTTACTTTGTTTTTCTCCTTGAAGTGCATGCAGCTACTGGTTCTTAGTACCAACTTGTGCTCCCTTCCTGGGTGCTGCGGTGGGTGTGTTTTTGTACCAGGCTATGATTGGAAACCATTGGAATTCCGAAATGCACGGTAATAAGAAAGATGAGGCGAGAGAGGAGGGAAGGTTGACACGTTCCACTCTGAGAACCAATGAAGAGGCATAAGCTCGTCTTTTTTTTTAAGTATTTTTAGTATATAACATTTTTGACTAACACCTACAGTATGTCATTAAATAACCCTGATTTTGCATAATTTAACTAATATCCTGTAACCTATCAAGCTGCACGTCAGTGGTTCTCACACCATTACTGCAGCGCCCTCTACCTTTTTGTATATTCCACTGTTACTCCTAAAAACTGATATTCTTATTGAACAATTAAAAAAATAATTCCAAATCTGTTCAATTAATCTACTGTTTTACAACAACTGTTGGCAACCGCTGCCACAAATAGTCCTTGACACTACACCATTGATAACCAGGCATGTTTAAGTTGGAGGCTTGTCAACGCTGTCCTGATTGATGCTGTTCAATGATGGATGCTTAAGATGAGCTTTCTTTTGTTCCTGAGCACTACACATTCCACTTGGCAATACCTGAGATGATGCAGATCTTAGTTCTGCACACCTGATTTACAGACATGGTGTTTATCAACGGGCTCAAGGTCCATGACAGCGAAACAAAGGATCATCTCTGTGCCAAATTCTTCGCTGTCTGCCTTCTTCTGTGTTTCTGTCAAGTCACACTTGGTTTAAAGTGTTACTTGTTGGCTGGCGTTTTACTCAAAGTATGTTAATAATAAAACCATACAGAGTTGGTGAACCCTCAAGCTTCTGATCTACAGTGACCTTTGACCTCACACACTTCTCTTTATATCCACATCAAAGAGTAAATGAAAGAATAGGGCATGTGATCCGGTGATTTGTTCTCTTTTTTTTACTCTGCGTTGCCTTTATGAATTTTCAACAAAGAAGAATGAGGTTGGTCAGAGAACGTTCTGGAATTCTCCCTTTTGCTTCTTGGTATTAATAAAAGCTTAAGTGTTCACACGAACGTCACAGAGCTGCTAAAAGCTGCAGTCATCAACCAGGTATGTCACGGTGATACAAGTTCTGCTTCTGCCACTCCTGAATGCAGACATAATAAGCTGCAAGGTTAACTATACTGAGTCACACCATTATGCACTGCAGATTCCTTTGCAAGGTGATGTGGAGAGAGGGCGAAGGGGGAGGGGCATGCTATACCCTGAACAGTTTTCCAGTCACAACGCAGTGAGACAAAAACCTTCATTCACACTTAGATTGACACCAATGTTCAATTTGGAGCAGGGCTCTCAAACCAAAATGAGCCGGGGGCTGTGTTACCCCTGCCATCTCATTGGAAGGTCAACAGGGGGGTCAGATTATATTATATTGACATGTAGTGGTTGGCTGTATGCAACTGGTCCACTGGCCACCTTCCGCCCGCAGGAGTTTGAGACCCGTGATTGAGTGTCTGATCAACCTAATCCTCTAATTAACATCATCTTAGGCTGTGGGAGGAAACTGTAGGAGATCCTAGGGGAGAAAAACCCACGCAAACCAAGAATCTCCTAATGCAGGCACCTAACTTACCGTCTATCCATCTATTTCAGTGATTCGTAGATTTTTTAGCTACACACCCCTTTCCCAACTAGGTGGATGCACCCGCAATTTCTCACATCTTCCGTGAGAAAGTTTAGCTGCCATTACATTTTTTTTATCTCACGCAACCCCTAGTGGCAACTGGAGTCAATCCAATCAGTCTTCAGGTTATGGCAGGCACACCCAATAAATAAATAGAATTTCTGCATGTTTGAAGAATACGGGTGTGTCACAGTGAGTCGCATCCCTCACGTGTCAAGATAAAACTCCACCTCTTTGTATAAGGAACCCTGAAGGATATATTATCCGTCTCAGGATGACAAGAACCCAGTGGAAAAATGCACAGTGATCCGCGACGAAGGGTCATTTTTACCGTCAAACACATAGAGCACAATTAAAGAGGTGTGACCAGGCAGCAGGAGGCATGGACGGCCTGCCAATGTTGACATGGCGACCATGCCACCTGCTGTCAAGCTTTCAAGAATACTGCTGATAGTGACACGTCACAGTGACATTAGGTGACACATCTGAAGCAGACTGAAGCTCACAGGTGAATGTCAAGGTAAAAAAAAAAACTGCTGTTGATCTGAATATTCACAGGTGAATGTCAACGTAAAAAAAAACTGCTGTTGATCTGAATATAAGAAATCTGGAGGATACATTTTCCATATTATGACTATAGGAACCATCAGACAGATAGTTTGAGCTGGGGTTTGAACTGAGGGTCTTTTAAAGTGTCATAAAAATGTGAAATCATGTTTTTTGTGTAGATTTTACAGTGTTAATCTTTACATACTGAGCACATCTGCTAGGTTTTTATTTCAGCAGCTCTTTATAGACCGACAGATAAATATGTAACATATGAGGATTACTAATTGGAAATAATATTCATTACCAAAAGACAGTAGAAAGAAATAGTGTATTTGCATTTTGGGAGTTGAAGACTAGCTTGCATTAGATATTCAGTGAAATGCAAATAGTGACATTTCCTACGTTACAAATAACCTCCAAATGTTTCTCTTCATATGCCCCCTTTGGTTTACAGTGCCCGAGGTGACTATCACTGTAAGAAATTCGATCTTGGTTTGAAAGGGCACCAGAGGGAAAAGGTCAGAGGTATTTACTCTGAAAAAATGCCTCTAATATGGCTCCACAACAAAGCGCAGACACACACGTGTATGAGTGCAGTTGGAATCACTGTCACAAAGCCAGGCTCAATTCTCATCAACGGAGGAGAAGAAATGTATATCGACATCAAAAGTGGCATTTCACACGTCTGGAAATGAATCAGTCTATCAGATCTGACAAAGGGCTAAACTTCAGAGACGGGTATTTGACATTTGGAGTTTCTCTTTGGCGTGACCTTTGCAGCAGTTCACCAAACATACCTTGTCTCTTTCGTGTCTATTTGCCTCTGATATTAAAATGTACCCCCATATTGACTTGCAGAAAGAGGAGCAGACAGAGAGAGCTGTGATCAGATTCTTCTTGGAAAGATTTCACAAGCAAGTTTGCATTCGCTTTTTGGCTCTGATGTGTCACTGCAAAAAGTTAGATATTCAGTATATTTAGAACTGCACGTATTGTTTAAATACCTTTCATTTTAGGTAGGCTTTTTTTTTTCAGACTCCTACAAATAGCAGCCTCAGATATCAAGAGAGAGAGGCAAGACTAATAAGTAATAAGTATCTATTTTCAGTCAGATATCAAGAGAGAGAGGCAAGGTGTTACTAATAAGTAATAAGTATCTATTTTCACATTATTATATGACACTAGATAAGATAATTATCCACTGCAGTCATCGGGTTGATTGGGTGTTTTTTCATATCACTATCTTTATTATCCAGTTACCTTTTATTTTTGTATATTATTACTGTCAAAAGTTTTACTTTGAATTCTTTGTAACACAGATTGTGTTGCTGCTTTACCAACCTGACACTGAATTATCCATTTTTGGATCAATGAAATACATCCATCTATCCATCTATCCATCCATCTATCTATCTATCTATCTATCTATCTATCTATCTATCTATCTATCTCTCCTTCTATATCTTCCTCCCTCCATCCATCCACTTAACCCTCTCTCAGGTGAACATGTTTTCTGTGTTATGCTGCAAAGACAGTTAAAGATTTACTGGAACACATACTATATATATATTTTTCAGCCCACTCTATGGACGTGATTGGGCGCCATTACGGGCAAAGCTATGTGAAAGATTGTGCAACAGCGCCACTATGTGGCGGAACAATACATTTTCTTCTCATGTTGATGTATTGTGTGAGTCAAAAGCATGCTGCTAAAACACTTCCCTGTAGCATTGTTTGCTTTGGGATGTCTTTTCTGTCATATTGGTATTCAGTAAGTCATCAAGTGATGAATGACAACATAATGCACACCTTGTCTGGAAAAACAACTCTGATGTACATTTCCAACAATAAGGAAGCACCTGGTGACTGTGAAAAGGAATTAGAGTTGGCAAATAATCAACTTCTTCTACATTCCCAGAAGCTCTCACAGCAGACCATGTTCCAAACTAATTATCTTTATGCATTCCTCCATGACATCAGTGAATCATCTTTGGTCATTTTTCCCTCTTCCCCTTGAATGATAACAAGCCTCCAGTCACTAGGTGGCAGCAACTCATACAGTGGTTTGTACAGATACAAATATACATGTTATCAGGTTCTCCATAGTATTTCATTTCGCAGGGGTGTGGGCTGAAGGGGGAGCGGGGTGTGTGAAAACATTTCTGTCACCAAGGGAAGGCATGACAGAAAATGATTCAGAACCACTGATCTATAGTTCACAATGTCATCACAGCGCCACATACAGTCAAGTATAGACACAACACCTTTACACTTACATCAAAACCTCGATTTAGAGAGAACAACTAACCCAACCCTGCATGTGTTAATGGTATGCAAAGACATCAGAATATGGTTGGTACCATGGGTTACCAGCGGGGATTTGACATGGTGACCTTCTAGCTGTGATACTTGATCTCTACCTGCTTCTTTCCTGTGTGGCTCTAGTTGTTCATTCAAAGTGTGTTTATTATTTATTATCTTATTAAAAAAAAAAACATGAATACTGGCTCCAGCTCCCTCCATGACACTAAAGAATGAGTTATAAATAATAAACTCTCTAAAAGTAAGAAATAATATTTCCGGCTTCCAAGAACAACAGTATCCCTTTTCCACTTTTATTTGAAAATATGGCCTCTTAAAACTGTATTGTTGGATCATCACAAGTTTCCACACAAGCCTAAAGCCTGAATGACTTCTGTTTTTTGTGATAACAGAAGCTTGCAGACGAGAAATATTCAAGTACAAGTAACTATGCCAATATCAGGCTCCAGAAGTTAATGCTGCCGTGAAAAACGTGAATATATGGTTGTACCATTTCAGGACAAAAATTGCAACAATCCAGGGAAACAGGTCATACCAGCAACTGTCTACGCAAGTGGAAACACAGGTTTACTGGCTGTATTATACAGTACACGTAGGTTAAAAAGGACTCTTTGTCTTTGTGTCTTTATTAAACTTTGTGCTGCCATCGTTACGCCTTCCATTGTCCGACTCAGCAACAAGCTGCTCTCTGTTGCCAAGAGGGCAAAACGGGTCACAGTACGATGATAAGGTCCTGCCCAAAGATTTTGGAACATACATGTCCTCGATTCATTCTCCCCAAGGGCTGAATTATAGCAAACAT